CATTTTTGAACTTGGCAAACCAATCTCGAGCAGTCCTCGCAGCTATAGCACCCTCTCCGTAAACGGCACAAATATCCCGAGCTGCTTCGGCTGCTTTTTGATTACGGCGAAACGCGAAATAAAGCAAGTGTCGAAAATGGGTTTTCTTGCCGCCTGGTATTTCCATTTCAAATACCTGAAAGTTAAGTAAAATTAAGTTATTCGGAAAAATGGTGGCAATAAGTTTGTAGAGGAAAGAAAGTTCTTTCGAATGACTATATCCACTTTGCCAAACTTCAAAAATATGGAGTGAAAACGAACAAAATATAAAAACGGCGGGAATATATGTTACAACCCAATATATGTATAATGAATTTTTAAGTCATACAATCTTATATTGGCTCTGTTACCTATGAACTATTGTTGTAAGATACAGAAATCCTTAAACATTGTACCAACTGTTTCTGTGCATGAGCTGTGAACCTCCCCATGAATTATTTCTTATCCATTGTGGCTTTCCTGCCCCCTCTTCCTTCCTATTTCAGTCTTCGTTACCCTTTCATGCTTTTCATGTGACAACATGGCTTCATGGCTTGAAAAGTGAAGTAGATGAAGAATTTGATTGAAATGCATACAAAATCCAGAGATTGACAGCATGTTAATTCATTGTCTCATATCAACTGTTCTTTTAGTTAACCCTTAAAGATTCAGTCAATTATGTCAATGCTACAAATTTTGTTTAGAAGTGCCAAAGTTTAAGAGCTGGCAAAAGGAATAAGTAATGTATTTTGCCAGAGTGCATGGTCTTGTTTGTCCTCTCACTTAAACTGTCCTAATGTCAGTTCTTCAACTCTAGTATCTTTAAATGAAATTTATAGGTTCAGCCTAATTGACTGTGGCACCAAAAGGGTGAATTTGGGAGTAGGAGCTAAAAAAAAACCAAAGAATTCAAAAAGTTGCACTTTATTTTCATGATTTTAGGGTGCATCCAACTTGATCTCAGTGTTTTCAAGAGAAGGTTTTGATGTTTGGTGAAGAAAGGTTGAGGTACATGGATGAACCACTGACGGTGGGTGAGAGCACAGAGACGCACATCCCTGAGTCGTTGCAGAATTGCCTAGAGGAAGGATTGAGAAGACAGGGGGACCTGACCATAGTAGATGTGTTTTTCATCCTACTCCATGTCATGATGACAGAAAGCTGTTTCCTTCCCTTGAGTGAATCAGGTAAATCTCAAGGGAACCTCCTTCCAGCATCATGGAAGCAGCCAAATGTTTACTGCATTTCCTACATTCATCCCACTGCAAGGAACATTCGTTGTGAACTCATAGCGCTCACACTTGCCAAGACTTTCATTGTTCATGGTAAGCCACTCTTCCTCTCTTCTTGAATTCTGGTAGGAGTATATTCTTGGACATCCTGCATCTCCCAATATCCATTCTGAGTTCTGACAGTTAGACTGACTGCCACATCAAGTTCATGTCCCTTACAATACTATTCTTTATAATGAAAAGTCATGGAGCCAGCAGTCACTGCATAACAAACTTTGTCTTGTGCTACAAATTTTTGTGGATGGTGTTCTAAATACATCTGAAGAGATTTTCAGAACTTGGAGATATAAATTTTTGAAAAAGGAAAAGAGATCCTACGAGCTGCAAAATCTTTAGAATTGTGATGCTGGTGCAAAAATCATGAGTTTTACTGTCAATCCTTGCCTTGATTTGTATTATTTTTCACATCTGTGGATACAGTTATGTTCTATGTGCAGGGCTGTGCTTGAAAGATGTGGAGATACTGTTCACATGTTCCTTCGATCCATCCCAATATGTTATGTCATTTGAGCAGACCTCCCAAAAGGGATCCTGGACTGATGCAAGAATGTATAAGAACCTCAACCTCCTATCAGTCATATTCAAGGATAAGGTGTCGTATCCCCTCCTGCAGAGTGTCTGGGCTGCATCAGGTCAAAGTCCCCCAGCTGGATTGCTGGGCCTGCCCATGGAGATCCTTTTCAAAATCTTCTCTTTCTCCAATATTCACTCTCTTCTTGGGCTTTCTGAGACATGCAAGCTCCTCTGGGATGTGGCCAATGATGACCTCCTCTGGAAGCGGCTCTGTGTCAGGTATGCTGTATGTAGTGGTTATTCTTTAACTATTTTTTTTTGCTATTCAGACATTCTCAGAAAACTTTCACATTCATGAGAAAGGTCTTTGAAACATGAATAAGGAGACACATTGACTGAATGCAGGGATTTCCCACGAGATGCATGTGGAACGATGGGAGAACTGGAAGCCAAGCGAGGTGGGAAACTGTCATGGAAGGAAGTGTACAAGATGTGTCATGAAAGGAAGGTACAGCAGGAGAAACGACACACCATGCTTCAGAGGATGCCCATGCATCCACCTCCCTTCTTTCCGCTTCCCTTTCCCAGACCAGGTCAGTAATTGATTGATTGGTCAATAGGGTCTTATTTGACCTTTTTCTTTTTCTAATGGGCTTCTTCTTGGACCTACCTCATACAGGAAGGCAGCCATTCCTTCCCATGCCAGGTCCATTCAATCCCTTCATGCCAGGTCCACATCCTCGCTTCCTCTGATGTCATTGCCCCAACACATATGCTCTGATGCAGCTGTGATACATGATATGAGTGTGACATTGCACTCTTTGCTTGATTTCAATTCCCTCATGCCCTTAAATTCATGCCAAGTTATTGCCTTTTTGATGCATTTTTGTGGTGTTCTAATTTCTTGTGTTGCACAAAAAAAAACTCTTGAACCCAGAAGGAAAATCTTCTGGTGAGATTATTCATATCTGTTTTTTCTTTGTTTCATGGTGAAGAAGTGCATCCTGTTCTTAGCATACTCTGTTGAACATCTTTCTTTATCCTCCTCCCCCCCCCCACATAAATTGAACTTTTCATCACACATCCAAAGAAAGCCATTGCTGTATTTTTCAAAAGCAGAATAAGAATGATAGTGGGCCATTGAAGCTTGGATGACCTGAAGGGTAGCTGACGAATATGCCTTTCCATGAATTCCTGGTGGGGAGAGTCTTGGAACAAATGCTTCATTCTTGCAATAGAGTCATGATTATCTGGCATTTGCTGGAGGGGAAAAAAAGGCACTGCTCCATATGATAAGTCACGGAAAACTTTGTCGTGACTTTCCTTTTGCTGCTAAAACTCAGAATGATAGGGTGAAATTTGGAAAAATGTCATATGAAGGTAGGGTGAGCATCTGGAAAGGATAGATAAAGCTTATGTGGAAAATAATGAAACCTATTCATAAGAGGAATCAGGCTCAGGTGCAATACAAGGCCCTCCCAAGCCCTCAGAAGCTTCCTTCACCATACATGAGCGGATAGAAAAGGAAATGGCTCCACATTGGTGTGAGATGAAGTTATCTGGAAAGTTGAAAATATGCTCGTTTCCGGTGCGTCCATGAATAGTAATGGCCTTCCAGAAATAGTAAAAGACATGGCAAATACAGCATTCGAAAAAAAAATCTCGTCGCCGCTCGGTCTTGTGCCTTCGATGTACTTCCAATTTAGCTCGTAAGCAGGAGCACCTTGGGGGCACAAAACGTGATTATACGGAGTGGCAACGAGCTTTCCAATTCCAAAGCAGCATAAAAAGAAGCCAAGTATTTTAATAAAGCTATGAATCACTTAGTAGCCCATGGTAGAATATCTTTTGTCATCAGAATCGTTCCTTTGGGACGGCATTCATAGCCTTCGGGGACGGAATACAGATCATTACGTATGAATGCAGTCTGAGGTCTTTCCTCATCTGGATTGGATGAAGCACTCCCATGCAGGGATCAAGGGAATTCCCTCTGGAATGGGTCTAGAATCCAAAGGGAAAAGGGAAGAGACGGAGAATCAAATTTTGGGACCCGAGGCTGAAAGAAAGACATTTTCTCATCTCCACGGGAGAGGGGGGGATTCTGTCCTGACAGAATCATCCGCTCTGAGGGGATGGCCGATGAGGGAAAGAATTACATCATCGTCACTTGCTTCCATCTCGAAGAATGTCAGTCGAGGATCAGCGAGGATCTCCGGGATTCAATGAGATCGGGGGATCGAGGTTCCTTTTTGCGTCTCGTCATGCGCAGGGTCATTAATTAGAGACCCTCGTTAATTAGATGCACCCCTGGAGCTCCTCATCCCCGTTTCCAACGTCTTCCAACCCACTGACCGAGAGGAATCGGTCCGTTCCCTGTGTCCCGGGCCAAAAGGAATGTGAGTCATGGCGTGTTGTTCCGAGACTCTCATTATGAACGGGCCATCGAAGATTCATTTGGCAGTCGGACAAATGGGCTGGGAAAACACTAGGAAGCATGGCATGAACATTCCATGCTCATCGTTCCTTTTCCTCTTCTCCCCTTCCTCGTTCGGGTGCATGGTGTCGCTTCTCTCGTTTTTCTTGGAAGTTATGAAGAGTCGAAAAGTGAAATTCGGTGTTGATATGGGAACGAACATTTGATGAGCTTTGCATGAAAAGTTGATAGTTTCATAAGAAATGTAGGAAGCATCCAGTCTCTTCTCGTCTCTGATAGGAAGAGAATTCACCATTTCACTTGTTCGAGTCCCCTCATCCTAAAATCTCAATCACTGAAGAAACACTCCAACAATGAAAAAATAGCCTCGAGCTCCCAAAATCGACTCACCCAGAACGACGCAAACGAAGGAATCTCTCGCTGCAGCGGCACAGCCGCGATCGCGGCGACAAATCCGACGAAGATCCGTGAGCCCATTTTGATTATCGCTTGAAAGCCCGACGATCATCGGCTTTCTGAGCAACAATCAAAACGATTCACACGAACACCCAGACTCTTCCTCTAGTCCAGGATCCCCTCACCTCACATGTGAGCCGCACATGCGACACTCGACCGAGTCCCACGGGAGAAGCAAAACCATTGATCTCTTTAACGACTTTCCGACCCGGCAGATGTGAACGAAGCTTCAACCGTGCTTCAACTGTGCTTCAACCGGGCTCCAACCCAGCTTCAACCTGGTCTCAACCTGGCCTCAACGCAACCGATCCCCACCTGCATCTGACGGAACCCGCATGCCTTCCGATCCACCTGCAGCGAGGAACCCCGTCATCATGGAGGGGATTTTCAGTCCCGTCCATTTGCGAGGGAAATGTCACGGACCAGTGAGCCCGATCCCACCGAGAGATCATTAGAGGGAGACGGATGAACGAGGTGAGATGAAAGAAAAACGCTGCGGAACACACGACGACTCGGAACGCCCGAGAACGACACGGAAAAGGCAGGAGATCGATGGCCATTTCGGGGAAAGTCTCTCCTCATCGAGTGTGCCCATCTTTAAAACAAACACCCATCTCCCACCGCAAAGAAAACAGAAGCTCGGCAAACAACCGTCTCCCATATATTCCCCTCGAGAAGAAGAAAAGAGCTCCATGCCAGAGATAGATCCTCGGCTTCCCGTTTCTATGGGTCAATGAATCTCATCATGGAAGAGAATGAGGTCTCCCCGTTGCACGGATCTCCCTCCTTCCTCTTATTTATTTATACATCCGCATCCTCGACGTCCGAGATCCCCCCGGTCTTACTGGAATGGAAGGAAACAGAAAAAAAAGGATCAGCGATGTCCACACATCCGACGTTACCCAGCACTTTTCATTGTCCCATTTCCAAGGACGGGGGATCTACGGAGATTTTCCGTCCTGCTTCGCATCGTGGCCCCTTGCTCATTATTAACCACTCATCCACATCCTTCTCTCTCTCTCTCTCTCTCACACACACTCTCTTTCTCTCTCTTCTTTCTGAACGCGAAGAACATGAACGAAACTGAGAGGGAAAAAAAGATGAGAGAGATGGTAGTAATTACACGGTGGAGCCCGAATGCATGGCAGTCCGGTCTGCTCCTTTTTTTTTTTTTTTTTTTTTTTTTCCCCCTGGCTTAGGGAAGTCCGGTCTGCTCTTTTTTTTTTTTTTTTTTTTTTTTACCACCTGGCATGGCATGAGATGGAAGAGGAATACATCTCTCCCCCCATCCCCCTCCCCCCATCCGACCGTAATTTTGTTGTCTACCAAGAAAAGGAAGAAGCAGCTACAGCAGCAGCTGTGGGCACGTAATGCCGCGCGACTCACACACGCACCCTCACGCGCGGCTCTCCCTCGCTTGTCATGCTCCCTGGCTCTAAGGATGACAAATCATTTCTGCCATCATTCCTGCCATCATTCTTGCCGTCATTCCCGCCGTTGTTCTCGTCGGAGGAGAGACGGCCCGGGGAAAGAAAATTGCGACGACGGCTCCATCAATGGAATCGTGAGAGAATCGGTTCCCCCCGACACGAGGTAACAAATTTCGCGCTATTAATTTCGCGCGAGAACATTTCTCAACCGTATCATTAAAAAACGCGACATCCCCCCCCCCCCCGCTTCTCACCTTCCCGAAAAATGGCAGGAAAATAATGTGACTCACAAATTTATCCGCAGTCGAGAAGGGAATGGGATGCGACGAACAGCCTCTCGTTTGTCGCTGTAAGGACATTCCCTTTATATTCAGTTCACCGACGATGCCACTTGGAATCCACCGAATCGGAAAGTACTAAAAGAAAGTTGTTCGGTTCTATTCATGGAGAAGGAAAATGAAAAAGCGGCTCTCGTAAAAGCAACCTTCTTTGGATAGGCTGATGGCATCGGTGGGGGGAGAGAAAACATGTGTCAGATCCCGATCTATGATTGGATCGATTGGGGCCTCCCTGCAATGAATGTCCCTTTTTTGTTCCCGCCGCCCCCCCCCCCCTTGATTGATGACGTGACATAATGAGGGCCCCGCGGAAATTCATTACGACTCCGCGCCACCAGGTGGAAACAAAAAAAAGAAGAAAACTATCCGTCCATCATGCACCTAAAGGAGCGAGCTGCCGTGGAAAAAAAAAAAGACGAAAAAAAAAGATGCTGTCACAACACAGGAGGAAAAAAGGGAAAAGGTAAACAATAAGGGAAGCCAAAGAGACATCTGGATGGGATCACGACCCGCACCGCCACCGCCTCATCCGCGTAGACACTCCCCGGACAATCGGAGGGAAAAGGGGATTAGATAAAAATAGGTCCCCGAGAGGAGAGGAAGAGAGTGAGTGTATTCCGGGTGCCAACTCATTATGGAAGGAACTCAAGAAAGAAAGATGGGTCCTTCTTTTTCCCTCTCTCCACCGCTGATGACCTCTCGGAGGAATTTCTCTTCTTCACAATGACACAGCAAATGACGTTACGCTCCTCTCCCCTATAGGACCTCCTTAAGGACCAGAGGACCTCGTGCCTTGCCGGCACGTATGGGTCTTACCGGCACGTACCAAGCCGTGGTAGCGGTCAAGATGGATCTTGGACATGGATTTCCGATAGAAACAATTGTTTTCTCCTCCCGCAGGTGCGACGCGAATAAAGGACACATCATGAATGAAAGATTCATGGAAAAATGAGGCTCTGCGTGAGCACGCCCCATTATTATCTTGGTCATTATGGGAAGAAAGAAAGGAGAAAAAAAAAAAAGAAGACGGGGAGATTTCCATCCATGTCCGTCGGTTGGTCGGTCAGGGGATAAATAAGGTCAATTTGTCTGGCTGTCGGATCCCCGCCGGATATCATTAAGGCGCTTTCGTTTCCCGTCCCACGTTGTTATACATTGGACGTGCATTCTTTCTTCCCATACGATGGCATGTACTTCCTAGGACGTTGGTCCGGCATTGTGGTCCTTTCCTCTCTTTCCTTGGAAACCATTTTTTTCCTTATCTCTTTTCTCTCGTCTAGAGGGGAAACGAGGCGAAAGGAACCCAGCTGAGTCACCCAGGAACTTTTCCTGCATGAACCCTTTTTTTCCCCCCCGAAATGTAAGCGAAAAGGGAATGGGGGGGGGGGGGGGGCGGATAAAATGAGGCAAAATAGGGGTAGAAGGCAGGTGGGGGGAGGATGATCAGATGCCCTCGGGGCCGGGGGGCATTTTACTCGCTATTAACACACCGGGGGCACATCCGGCGCGTTTTCCCTACTGGACACATGAGAAATTTGCCACACATGACTAGTCACGCACAATGTAACAGGATCGAAAAAAAATAATCAAAATAAAAATCTGGAAGAAAATTTTCTCATTTCCCAGGACAATTTATATCGATCTCATCCTCACAAAATGAAGAACAAGAGAAGAGCAGGGGCTGGGATCGGTGAGGGAGATATATCTAAAGCAAGAAGGAGTGGTGATGGATCAGCCCGTTATAAACGTCCTCAATCCCCCTCGTGTGAATCAAGCAATCCATCTTTTTCCAGCTTCTACCCATATGGTGCCTCCCTTCGATTCCATTCCCTGGGATTCCCACCTAATCTCTCCTCCATCGCGACAAATATTCCCCCCATCGCCCCTCATTTAGATGCCCTCATACAGAATGCTATGGGCTGTTAGAGAGGTTTGCCCTCCTAAAGTATTCATAGCTCGGGAGCTAGGGAAAGACGTCTCTCCGCGGGTCGAAAGCACTGAAACTTTCATTCCTCCTCCGCCCCCCTCCACTCCGCTCCTCCCCCTCCCCCACCCCTCACTCGATACTTCGCGAAGTTCCTCGCGAACACATCCACCGCACCGTCGACGACGACTGACCGGTGCGCGGCGCGAGAGAAGGAATAGCATCCGGATAATGCGAGAACGCTGAGTCAGGGAAGCTGTTCCCCCCCCACCTGTTACACACCCTGGGGACATGTATGTACAACACGTTTTACATGTCTTCCACTGCATGCCCTACTTCATCCCGCATGCACACGTATTATATACACAACCCTGCTTCGCTTCGCCGAGCAAGGCACCAAACAACAAACTTCGGCCGTGCAGATGTCAGCGAGAAATCGAAATCTGCTGACGTCTCTTGCATCTCGATCGAGATGGGATGACACGGGATTCGAAGGACGTCATTTATTACTCTAATGCATGCCGGCCGGCTTTCAAGGCGCCTGTATAATTTCCCGTCATTAGGGCCGATATCGCTTTGGGATTCGCACCGGGGACTCATTTTCTTGGGGTTCATGATGGCTGCTATTTTTTTTTTCACCCTCATCTTCTCCTCCTACTTCCGAGAAAAAAAAGATAAGAGATTAAAGAGTTTCTGTTATCATTGAACACACTTCCAGTAAACTTAATGAATAAGGGGAATAGAATGAGAATAAACGTTCAGAGCATACCGATCACATCGGCTTGAGGATGTTTCAAGCAAAAACCCCCATAGCAGCTTTTTCACGATAGCATGCATGCGCCCACACGAATTAATCACCTCACAACGGGTCAACGACGAAATGGAACGGACAATTAAAAAATCGGCAAGCAAAAGTATATTTCACCGATACCACCGGCACTGCAGTATCGGCCGATACTCCATCCCGGCCTTACCGGCAAAGATCTGTAATATTCCAAAGGCAACTTCGATTGTATAGGAGAGGAATATTACAGTGCAGCAGCGGAAGGAGCTGTAAGGAGCTGGAGGAGAAAGAAGCAGGTAATACTGTCGTCATGCTGACATAGAGTAAAAAGCATGTCTTTGACTGGGGGCCTGTATTTTCGATTCATATCCCCCAAGGGTTATATCCACCAGACGATGACCTCCGTTCCTTTCATTAGATCCCTTCCCTTGCTCTATGTATCACTTATGTATCCCTAATGTATCGCTTGGATGTCTTTTCAAGTCGTTTCGCATGCTGTCAGTCGGGTCGCTCGGGGATGAGAACTTGCATTAGAAGTTTTCCGGGGAATCGGGGCGAGGATACGAAAAGTTGTATCATCCGTGCATAATGATCCGTCCTAACTGAAACAAATGAGCCTTTCCTGTTACCTCCGTGCGGAGATTTTTAATGCTCTGTCGGCCGAGGCGGGGCATAGCGGCCCAAAACGTGAGTGATGATCCGTGGTGATCTAAATCAATTATGTAAACGATACGGGGGGGGGGGGGGGGGGGGGGGGGGGGGGGAAAAGTTTCAGTGCTTTCGACCCGCGGAGAGACGTCTTTCCCTAGCTCCCGAGCTATGAATACTTTAGGAGGGGTAGGGGGAACA